TATTTTTGTGTGTAACCATAGTGTATGAGAGAAATTGAAAAGGGTGTTGCAATAATTATGAGAGAAGTCAAAAGAGATTGTGGGTTGTGAGAAGCCAATAAATGCCGAGGTTGGGTTGTGAGAAGTCAATCTCCTCACAACCATTTCTTCATTCAGTTCTCCCCTTCTCATAAATTATATAGAGTAGAAATATTAAGTTTAAATATGGGAGTGCTTAGAGTGAAAATGAGTATTTTATAAAATAAATAAATAAATTGAGAGTTGTAGATTTTATTAAATCATACATACTTTATGTTTTAGAAGTTTGATCAAAGCTATTTTTGGAGATCCATGGAGCAATTTCAGATTTATGGTGATGGAATTAATCATTTTGAGGTAAATTCGGGTTGTATACAATATGCTCTATTTAAATCTCTTTGCAAAGAGTTCTATATTTTTATTCAAGATTATATCATGAGTTTAAGGCTACTAATAAATAAATGACCTTCAAATATTTAACATACCAATCACAATGTCTATTAGCAATTTCCAGCACATCATGGAATTCTCACATAAATTATGTTGTGAAACTCTAAGATGGCACGGGACTTATTTGAACCCTTTTCAGTATTTGGTTTTGGAATAAGGGTGGATGTGCAGGTGGCACACAGGGAGGTTACGTACCCCTGGCAGACCGTTTCCTTGGGGCAGACCACGGATGCTACTACTTGGGTATATAACTCCGGACGTGGGCATCCCTGGTAGTTACGGTTGGTAACACTAAAATATTTGACCAAGGGAGGGTTTCAAATTAACCGTTGCCATGCTTAGTGGTTGGTAAGTTCAATCTCTTTGGTGAGATTTCGAGTGTCACCTAATTTATTAAAATTATTGAAATTATTTTAATGGTTGTAATTCATGTTTACAATTATATTATTATCTCGTGCTTATAATCTCATTATTTTTCTCTTAAAAAGAATGGTAGGTTGGTTATGTTTTCTTACTGTGTTGCAAAACTTATGGCATATATTTTTGTTGCCCTGGCGTTTGATGCCAGGTTTTGGTGAGGAAATAATTGAAGCTGAAATGGAGTTGACGCTAACGTATAGTCTTGGCTGACTTGAAATCATGACTAAAGTTGAATAACTTTATTATCTTATAAATTAGCTATTAAGGACCTTATAATTTCATTTGATGTTATATTTGGATAATCTTAAGTTTTTATTTAATATTATTTGAATCTTTGGTTATGTACGAGAGCTGGAATGTCCTATTAAGATGTCAACTTTTTAGTTTATTAAGTCATTTTGTTTATTTAATTTCCCTTGATATTTCAAAAAAAAAAATTGGGGCGTCACATGACCCCTGACAAAAGGATGACCCTCTGATTGGAATGGATCCAACGGCCAAAGAAGAATATAAGTTGGCCACTGACCTCTGCTAGAATGATGTCCGTCCGATCAACAGAGATCCAAAAATCATCCACAAATACAAGTTGGCCACTATCTCTGGCAGAAAGCCAATCATTTGATCAGCAGAGATCCGATGATCAGTAGCAACTACAAGTTGGCCACTATTAAGGTAATCTCTGACAAAGGGCTAACCGTTTTGATCAAGAGGAGATTGAGGTTCACAGCAACATACCAATTAATATAAAATGGAATCAATCAAACAAGTAAATGACACACAGAGGTAATTAAGAGTAACTATACAAACATGCCTTTCCTTTATTTCGCTATTACAATCATGTCTAACCAGAATGCTAACTTGATCGTCAGAGGGTCCTTTCAACCTACCTAGGTCGGAGGTGATCTTCGACTTTAGTTTCTCTTGCAAGTGCTGGCTAAGGTGCATTATCTCACTAATCCTATGTGGAGACAAATTCACCATCCACAATATTCTAGAAACTAAACCAAACAAAGCCAATCTTTGTGAAAATATCCGCAAGTTACTTGTTAATGTTGACAAATTTTCACAAAGTGATGACACAAATATCTACACAGTGATGACGTAATTCAATGTGCTTGGTTTGGACATGAAAATTTGAATTTTTTGTTAAAGCTATAACAACATTTACTTTTGCTATAAATTTGCAAAAATTCTTTCCAATCATATCACTTCACAAATAGCGTCAAATAACGGTAAAGTATTCTTCACAAATGGCACCAAACTAGACCATGACCTTCATAACCAGTGCAATCAATGTCTCTTGTGCCAAAACCATATTTGTAGGGCCCCTATCATGATGTGAACCTTGGTTCAAACATTACTATGCAAGTCCCTCAAGCAAACTAGTCATTCTTGTCACTTTCCATCTAAGGAAATATCTTATCCTACTAAGGGCTCGTTTGGAAATAATTTTTTTAATTTTATATCACTTCACAAATAGCATCAAATAGCGGTAATGTATTCTTCACAAATGGCACCAAACTAGACCATGACCTTCCTAACCAGCGCCATCAATGTCTCTTGTGCCAAAACCACAGTTAGGTAATTAAGGTAGGGCCCCTATCATGATGTGAACCTTGGTTCAAACATTACTATGCAAGTCCCTTAAGCAAACTAGTCATTCTTGTCACTTTCCATCTAAGGAAATTTCTAATCCTACTAAGGGCTTGTTTGGAAATAAATTTTTTAATTTTTTTTAAAATATGAGATGAAAAAACTAAATGTGACTTTTTAAATACAGTACAACAAAAACACATTTTAATGACACTATACTAGTGTTTGCACCCATTTTCATAAAATCCCTATTGACAGGTGGATTAATCAGATGATGACACGTGGCAGTGAAGTCAAAATGAAGTCTTTCAGCAGTCAAGAGGCTACGTGGTGTGAAGGAATTGATCATGTGCATCAATTGGCTAAGAGGGTCATAAGCTAGTTATCAATTGGTTAATTGGCTTGGTGGATTGATTTATAAGGGACCATATTTGTGAATTGGAAAGCTTTCCTCTGTCAATCATGCTCATATGGGTGTATTGTGGTTTATTTAATATTGTGGTAGTCTAATCTTGTAAATTAAAAATCCATGCACGTGTGTTACTTTGGTTTATTTTCTCTGTATCTAAATTATTATTTCATATCATGGTTTAAATAAATTGTTTATTTAAATGCTGTACATTTATTTATTATTGTGTGACATGTGTAATATTTTATGTTGGGAATTTTAATGAGTTGGTGTAACATCAATTATGATTAAAAATTGGAATTATTTGTGAGTAATATCAAAATTAACTGAAATGATTAACGGGATATACAAAGTTAACAATTGACGGTTAATACCAGTTGTTCAGAGTGAGTCTTGGTTTTAAAGAGTGTACGAAATTAAGGGTTAACAGTTAATACCGGTTGTTCAGGGTGAGCCCTGGTTTTGAGAATTTTCACGTAAATTGTGTTGCGAAACTCTAAGATGGCATGGGACTTATTTGAACCCTTTTCGGTATTTGGTTTTGGAATAAGGGTGGATGTGCCGATGGCACACAGGGAGGTTACGTACCCCTGGCAGACCGTTTCCTTGGGGCAGACCGCGGATGCTACTACTTGGGTATATAACTCCGGACGTGGGCATCCCTGGTAGTTACGGTTGGTAACACTAAAATATTTGACCAAGGGAGGGTTTCAAATTAACCGTTGCCATGCTTAGTGGTTGGTAAGTTCAATCTCTTTGGTGAGATTTTGAGTGTCACCTAATTTATTAAAATTATTGAAATTATTTTAATGGTTGTAATTCATGTTTACAATTATATTATTATCTCGTGCTTATAATCTCATTATTTTTCTCTTAAAAAGAATGGTAGGTTGGTTATGTTTTCTTACTGTGTTGCAAAACTCATGGCATATATTTTTGTTGCCCTGGCGTTTGATGCCAGGTTTTGGCGAGGAAATAATTGAAGCTGAAATGGAGTTGACGCTAACGTATAGTCTTGGCTGACTTGAAATCATGACTAAAGTTGAATAACTTTATTATCTTATAAATTAGCTATTAAGGACCTTATAATTTCATTTGATGTTATATTTGGATAATCTTAAGTTTTTATTTAATATTATTTGAATCTTTGGCTATGTACGAGAGCTGGAATGTCCTATTAAGATGTCAACTTTTTAGTTTATTAAGTCATTTTGTTTATTTAATTTCCCTTGATATTTCAAAAAAAAATTTGGGGCGTCACATGACCCCTGACAAAAGGATGGCCCTCTGATTGGAATGGATCCAACGGCCAAAGAAGAATATAAGTTGGCCACTGACCTCTGGTAGAATGATGTCCGTCCGATCAACAGAGATCCAAAAATCATCCACAAATACAAGTTGGCCACTATCTCTGGCAGAAAGCCAATCATTTGATCAG